CCCCCCCCCGCAACACACACACAAAAAGAATTGACCAGTTATATTCAGCAAAGATCAAAGTTCAAATATAACTGAAGAGTTCAAGATGGAAAAAAGAAAGGTTAACACTGTGAAGGCCTGAAAATGATAATGAGGACAAAAAAACTACTTCCCCAGGTATGATGGAAAAAGAGAAAGAGAAAGCTGGCCTTTGGATCACCATTTGGCCACAGGGTGAAGACTTCAGGTTGAATAGTGCCAAATAATAATAAGGTGAAATAACAGGGTCATATGTGTGGATTTTTCATACAGAGGGGAGGTGAAAATCATGAAAGTTAGTGAACCCTAGTCCCAAATATACAGTCTGGCCAGAACTGTTACCTAATTTCTATGTACTTCACTTTTTTCTCAGTTACAAATATATTCTTTCTAGCCTATTAGGAAACTTGGCTGACACTTAACCTTTATATTTCATTCAAGATTCTCAATCTGTACATTAAAATCACGAGTGCCCCCCCAAAAAAAGGGGGAAGGGGCATAAAACTACTTAAGCCTGACCCCACATCCATAATCCTATTCATTTTGGGGTGAAGTTTAGACATAAGGATTTTTAAGAAGCTCTTGAGGTGATTCTGACGCACAGCCAAGGTTGACAACTGAACTAGTTATTTCTAAAGACTGCTAACCTTTTAAATTTTAAATTCTGTGATTGACTGCTACTGTTTACTTGTTAAAACAATACTATCATGTGCCAGTCATTTCCATAAACTCTCACTGAATCTTCAAAACAACCCTGTAGGCAAATATTTCTACGTCCATTTCATAAATGACTCCAGTGAAGCTTAGATAAGTGATCTGTTCAAGAGTCATAAACTAGCTAGCAACAGGGGCAAGCACTGTTTGATTTTTCCATTACACCTATATGAAATTTGCTTTCTATTACACTCAGACCAATTATTTGAATGCCTTCTCTCTTCCCCAGGACTTCTTCAAATTGTACACACTAGCTTGTGGTTTACAGATTTGCTGGGGAGAAAGTTGTATTGGGTAGAGGCAGGAAATTAGCCCCAAATTCTACAGTCATTACAGAATTACAGAAAACCTTAACCTAGAGATGTTCTGAAACTTAAATTAGCACCATAAAGTATATCTATTAAGTATTTTATTTATTTTATTTTATTTATTTTCAAATAAGCATGCAAGTAGCAGGCAGTTAATGCACAAACCTGGTTCTCAAAGATAAACTTATCAATAGAAAAGTAATGTTTTTGTTTTCCAATAAGGGGACTTTAATATAATATTCAAAGATAATTCTGAAAAAACAAAAATTTGCTCTATTAAGCAGTCTATATAAACATGACCTTCAAAATGTGAGGCATTAACCAAATTTTCATCAAGTGTAAAAAAGTCAATCTCCTTTTAGAATCATGATTATAATCCTTTTATTGATCCATGGCATCTCTCCATTCATCAGTGATTACATTCCAGTCTATTATCTTCTTGGAAATTTCATGAACATTCAAGTTCTGTACCCCAGGCCAAAATTCATTGAGTTACCACTATAATCTGAATCTTCACAACAATAAATTCTCATAAAAAAAAAAAAAAGAGAGAGAGCACACAATCTGAGCATTTAATGGTGTCCATGGCATCTACTAAGGAAAATACCACCGAGATTTAACAACTATAGCCATGGAAATTAAAATTTAATAAGAAACTCATGAAGCATATTTACAAGAAACAAACATGTGGAGTTATCCATTCAAACCTTTCCTGAGCAGCTGCCACATTCTCAGCTTGCTGAGAATGGGCAGGCAAATCAAATCCAATGTGATGCCTGCTGTCAAGGAGGAGCCCTTACAGATCCATACAATACTGGTGGATACTATTGGAGAAGTGAATTGATTTCCTGGGTAGAGAAGGTAGATGGGAGCAAAGTAGAAAGCCTTCAAAAAGTATAGGTTTAAATATCTTTAAGAGGAAAAACTTCAGGACAAGAGCCCTTTTAACAGCTCTCTAGGAAATAAGTATTTGTACTTAAGAATTAAATTCAAATTAGAAACAGCAGTGATAAGAGCAAACACCATGGACAGACAGGAATGAGTTATATATCCTATCACTATAAGAGAATCAAAAGACCTTAGTTAAATACCAGCTAAGTTTCTAGATTTGAGAAATTAAGTTTACTCAATAAATATGTACAATGGCATTAACTTGACAATGAAGCAAAAGAAGATTTTTAAGAACTAAGGAAACTGGGAGTAAAATCAAAGCAGAAAGTACATTTTTACCTATTAAGGAGTAAAAAGAGAAATTCTCCAAGACATGGTTCAGGGTTTATCAATTCATTTAACAGAATTTTAAAGCTGTCTTTATATTTTAAAAAAATTTTATGTTCATTTGCTGGAATAATTCATGCTGAATCTTTACTTTTGATGCCTTAATCAGTACCAGTTTTGGTTTTTGTCTTTTTTTTTTTTTGAGGCGATTACATGTGCCTTCCAAAAAAGTAACCTAATACCATTCACCTCTCAATGCTGTCATGACCTGAAGAGATTAAAAATAGAAGCCTCTGTAAATACTGAATTAACCTGAGGACCCCATGAGCTACCAGTGTTGAGAAAAAGGTAAATGCTCAAAATAGGAAGGAATGCACCCTCAAAGAACCAATGGGAATGGAACACTTCAAAATGTCAAGATTATTTATTCTTAAAAGAACAACACATGCCTTTACTGTGTCAAAATCTTTCTTTAATGAGTTTCCTCAGCAAAGCAATAAAACTATAAAGAGGGCATTTATCGATCTAAGATACTTTTTGTGTGCACGAATTATGAAGGACTTAGGTCTCTGTAACCTTCACAGTCCTCATTTCCACTGCGCACCCACACAGGTTATTGCTATAATGTTCTAGGAGCACAGAAAGCTGGTCAAGCAACATCAGCAGCGAGCTCTCGGTCTTTAATAACATTTTTTAAAGAAAAATAAATTCGGCCTAAGACCATAAAGCTTTAAAAGACTCCAAATAAAGAGCGTAGTAGCCATCGCTTCTATCCGAACAAATTCTGTGTTGCCATTTTTCACCCAAAACTCCCTACAAAATACGTTGTTCAAGTTACAACGTGCACCGTGATGCCCAGACCCTGAAAACTTTGGGGGGAAGGAAAATGCTGGAGCCCTGAGACTCCACTGGCCACGTCTAGGACCCTAGTCCTGGCGTCCCACAACTTCTCGCCGGACCTCGGGGCCCCTTCCCGCG